CCCAATTTTTTTTGGTGGTTGTACTGGGGTTTGAACTCAGGGCTCCATGCTTGCTAGGCAGGTGCTTTACCATTTGAGCCATGCTCCAGCCTAGAACCAATTTTGATAAAGAAAAATAAAGTTTGAGGCCTCACATATCCTGATTTAAAAACATTACACAGCTCTAACAATGATTCTGGCACAGGTATGGGATAGTATGGTTTGTACTAGTAAAAAGACACTCATATGAACCAATGAAATAGGATACAGAGACCAGAAATAAACTCTACTACATACTGACATATGATCGTCCATAAAGATATTAAGTATACAATGGGGAAATAACAATGTCTTGAACAAATGGTTTTGGGAAAATTGAATATCTGCATGGCAAATAATTAAATTGCATCTTTGCCTTACACCATATATAAAAGTTAACTCAAAATAGGATGTACTTACTTCTACCTTATATATCCCAAACTTTATTATACTTGATATGAGAATAAAAATGCATCTCAGCGTCAAAAAACTAGTCATATCTACCAAAATCAAGGAAGAGCCCATGCACAAATTTTAATGAGAACTTACAATGGAAAAAGAGAGGCATCTATAGGAGAAATGAGGAAGAGACAAGAACAGATATTTCACAAAAAGAACATCCTAATAATTTATTGCCCAGAAAAATCTAATTCAGTTATAACCAGAAAAATACCTATCAGTGTCACAATATTATGGTTACATAGTGATTAGAGCTTCTAATATTAAAGTTTTGATGAGGACAAGGAACAAGAGACATATTCAGACATTATTGGATGAAAAGTATGTTTGCACAATAAATTAGAAAAATTAAGACTAATAAATTTTAGAAGAGATGAATACATAAACTATACAATTGTATTCATATGCATAGATGTGATACATGGACAAAGGACATATACAGTTAATGGCTGAGAGCATGGCTCAAGCAGTAGAGCACCTGCCTAACAAATGCAGTACCCTGACTTTAAATCCCATTGTCACCAAAAAAATGAAAGACATACAATTAGACTTGACAATAAACAGCAATAATATTCACATATTTAAAACACTAAGTTTCTGAATGTAATAGATTTCAATGTCATATTCATTAATAGAGTAGTGAAAATAATAAAGTATAAATTAAGGTAATAATATAGATGAATTTAACAAAAACCATATGAGAGTGAAAAGAGACAGATAAATGCCGAAAGAGTGCCTTGGTACCCTCAGTTCTTCCCTTGCCAGTGAGGTCCTCAGTGTTCTGTTTGTCTCCCTCCCTTCACACTGTCCCATTACACATACTCTCTGATGCATTCAGGGGAAACCCATAGTCTTGGATGCTTGTTACCCTTGTGGACACAAATTACCGGACTGGTGGAGCAGGTGGAACCTACTCAGCCAACAGATTGCAACGATCCCCATGACCAGCTATGTCTCCCGGCATACAAAAAACAAAGCCCAGAATGAGATAACTGATGTATCTATAAGACACTCCACTTCAATTTCCTTGATCTGACAATGTTGGGGACCTGTCCATGCCCTGAAATTGAGTGAATGCTTGGTTATTGAGCCATAACCTAGTCAAGGGATAAGAAATATAATAGTACATCTACTCTGTCACTACTCAGTCCTGCTTGAACATTGAGACTACGTCAACTGAAAGACGACAGGTGATTAAAACTTCCAATCAATGCTTTGGCCTCAGATGCACTAATCCCAATGCAGAAAGCAAGAAATATGGAAAAACAGGCAAGTTGATGCCTCCAAAAGTAAACATCTTCAAGAAAATGGATATTCATAATAATGAACTGGATGAAGTCCAAAGAAATCAAAAGAACGATTATAAGAATGATCAATGAAACTAAATAGGACACAAATAAAAGTGAATAAATTCAAAGAGAATACAAATAAAAATAGGATTGAAATAAGGAAGACAACACTGGATGTGAAAGTGTAATTCAATAAAGATACAGTAAATCTGAGAAAATCAAATTGAAATTCTGGAAATGAACAGCTCAATGCTCAATAACTAAAATAAAAAGTGCAAATTTTGGAAAGCATCAGCAAAAGAATGCATCAAGTTAGAGATAGAATATTGGAAATTGAATTAGAAAATTCAGATAGGCAGTACAAGAGGAAAGTTCATAGCTATAAGTGACTGCAGTAAAAATTCAGAGAGCTTCAGATAAACAATCTAATTATTTACTTCAATTTCTTAGGAAAGCAAGTAATAGCCAAACCTGATAGCACTAGATTGAAAGAAATTACAAAGATCAGGGCAGAAATTACAGAAATGGAGATAGAACACTCTACAAAATCAATGAAACAAAGAGTTGGCTCTTTGAAAGATAAACACAATTGACTTACCCTTATCCAAACTAACAAAAAAGAAGGTGAAGACTCAAATCAACCAAATTAGAGATGAGAAAGGGGACATCACAATAAGTACCAATGAAATTCAAAGGACCATTAAGGTGCAGTTTGAAAACTTATATCCTAATAAACTGGAAAATGTAGAAGAAATAAAGAATTTCTAGATGCATATTACCTATCAAAACTGAACCAAGAAATTATAACTCACCTAAAAAGATGTATGATAAGCAATAAAAATCAACCAGCAATAGTCTTCTAATGAAGATGAATTGACTTCTAAATTCTACTGAAGTTTGAAGAAGAACAAAGAACAATGCTCCTCAAACTATTCCATGAAATAAAAGGGAAGAAACGATACCAAACTCAATCTATGCTTTCAGTTCATAGAATGCATAGTCTGATTAACCTGATATGGAAACCAGATAAAGACACAGACTCCACCAAAATACTCTTAGTTCTGATAAGTACTTTAGGCAAAGAAGCAGGATGAAAATTCAGCATACAAAAATCAGTAGATTTTCTATATACCAAGAAGTAAATCCCATTCATAATAATATAAAAAAACTAAATAACTAGAAATAATTCTAACTAATGAAATGAAAGTCTTTGATAATGAAAACTATAAAACTGTGAAGAAACACATCTATGAAAAAACTAGATGGAAAGACCTGCCAGTTCATAGATCTGCAAAATTAATATTACAAAAATTGAGATACTACAAAACAAAAGCAATCAAAAGGTTTTAAAAGATCTCCACCAAAATTCCTGTGTCATCCTTCAAAGAAACAGAAATCAGTCTTAAAATTCATATGGAAGCAAAAAAATAGCTAAAGCAATCCTGAGCAAAAGGAGCAATGCTAGATCTGTCACAATACCTGAGTTGAAGTTGTATTACAGAGTTATAGTACAAAAACAAGATCCTGGCATAACAACAGACATGTAGAGCAAGGAAATGGAATAAAAGTTCCAGAAATTAGCTCATGCAACCACAGTCATCTGTTTTGTTAACAAAGGTGCCAAAAACACATTTGAAAAAGGACCTCTTCTTCAACAAATGATGTTGCAAGAACTATCCACATATAGAAGACTAGAACTAGATCCCCTTCACTCCCTGTGAAAAAAATCAATTCAAAATGGATCAGAAATCTTAATGTAAAAACAACTGAAGTATTCACATGGATAATGACTTTATGAATAGGACAGCAACTACTCAGGAAATACGAGCAAGAATTGACAAATGGGACTGCATCAAATTAAAAAGCTTGTACATATCAAAGGACACAATTACCAGAATACAAAAATAGCCAAGAAAATGGGAGAAAATGCTAAATGCTTGCCAGTTATTCATTAAAGAATTAATATCTGGAATATATTATCAGCTCAAAAAATTAAACATCAAAAGAACATTCACTCAATAAATAGTCAAATGAATTGAACAGATAACTCTCAAAATAAAAAGTAAAAATGAGCAATAAATGCATGAAGAAATTTTAAACATTATTAGCCATAAAGGAAATGCAAATCAAAATTGCATTGAGATTTCATCTACCCCCAGTCAAAAGGGCTATCACCAAGAAAACAAACAACAAATGCTGGTGAGAATATGGGGAGGGAAGAACTTTATATGTGTACAAGAGAATGTAAATTAGTGCAGACACTGTGGAAGTCAGTATGGAGGTTCCTCAAAAAAACTAAAAATAGAACCACCATATGATCCTGGTATATCACTCTGAGCATTTATCAGAAGGATTGTAAACTGACATACAGTCAATATACCTTTACCCATGTTTATAGCAGCACAACTCACAATAGTCAAACTATTTTATCAGTCAGTCTAGGTACTCATCAATAGACAAAAGGATAAAGAAAATGGGGTATGTATACACAGTGCAGTATTATGTAGCAGTAAAGCATGGCCAAATGATGTCATTTGCAGAAAATGAATTTAACTGGAGATTATCATGTTAAGCAAAATAAGCCTCAATTAGAAGACAATTTATCACATTTTCCCTCATATGCAGAATCTAAATCTTAAAAGAAATGACCGGAATATAAAAGGAGTACTGTTAGGAGTATGGAAAGACAGAGACAGGGGGAGGGCAAAAATCAAAGTGTGGGGAGTGAATATTACTGAAGTACCTTATATACATGTATGAAAACAGAATAATGAAACCTATTGAAATTGTTTTAGAAAGTGGGATAGGGAGAGTAACGAAGTGTAATAGAGTGAGTTGAACAAAGCACATTAGATTCACGTATGGAATTATCAAATTAAACCTCTGTGGTAATGAGAAAAGTAAAAAGTATTTGAATTGTGAGCACATGTCACATGAAACTAAAAGGAAATGCTGAAATTAAGTACAGATTATGCAGAAAGCAGAAATCAACAAACCATGAACAACAGAATTACAACAGAGAGGATCAATACAACCAAAAGAGTTTTCATTGAAGAGACAAAATAATATTTATAAAATAATATTGAAAAAATAGTTAAAGAGGCATAAACATATTATGTTTGAATTGAAAAACAACACTGAACACTGTTATGGTTTTTATAGATATTAAACTTTATTAAGAATATATTTTAATATATACATGAAACAAAATTCTTACAAAGTATATATTACCAAATGCAGTCCATTGCACAGAAATTTGAATAAATTACATATACTAAAGAAATGAAAAGTGTTATATACACCTTCCTATAGTGAAACTCTACAAACTCTTGGTATCAGTAGTGAGAAATAACATTGAAAAATGTAACAGTCTCTTACACAAAGGTTGCCAAGCTACAGAAAAGAAGGAATGCTTCCCAATATAACCTTGATAGTCAAACTTCTTCATGGACATGATAAAACTGTTAAATCAAAATAAAATATGTGAATTGACTTTTACAAGCAATACAAATTAGGCAGTTAGGCCTTACTTCAGAAATTCAAGACTGAAATAATAACATTTGAAATAGATACAGGTGATTTTCCATATATGTGATACAGAGAAAACATATAATTGGAATCACAAAATTAAAAATTGATTTATATCAAAACCTATTAGAAAAATATAAATGTTATAGGTCTACTTTAATATGAGTAAAATATGATTTTAAAACTTCATACATGACGATGAAATGTTAACATCCTTTCTCCTAAAACAGAAAATGATATATGTGATACACAAGGGGCCTTTAATGTACCTTGAATTTAATATGGGAACTAAAAAACTCTAAGTCACTGAAAATAAGTCAAGACAAAATACAAAGTAAATGAACTTGGAAAGAAAAAAGCACTTTTGAATGTGACAATTTATAGTTAAAGTTCCCGTTATGGAGAAAAGCCAGAACAATTTGCTTCTAAATAATAGAATTAATAGATAAAATCCAAGATATCTCTGGGTATCATACCAACATGTGAATTTCTATTGCATTTCTATTTTTGGAAAAGAAAGTTACTAAAGAAAAATTTAAAGTAAGAATAACAATTACAGGACTCATGCCTGCAATCCTAGCTACTCAGGGGGCAGAGATCAAGAGGATTGTGGTTCAAAGCCAGCCTGGGCAAAAGGGTGTGAACCCTACCTTGAAAAAGCTACATCACAAAAATAGATCTGGTGGAGTGACTCAAGGTGTAGGCACTGAGTTCAAATTCCAGTACAGAAAATAAATAAATAATGAAATAAAATAAAATTACCTGGCAGATTCCAGATTCAGGTATTTTATTCTTAAAGCTTATTCTTACAAATGTATATATTTGAAGAGCTACAGCTGCTTGATGTAAGGCCAGAGGAGGATAGAATAGCACATTTATGCTCATCACGTGATGATGTTATCCTATAATGGTGGAAGCATATAATTAAATTTGTATCTCATAGATATAATCTATGGATCAAATCCATTTCCTGCATAGTTGTAAAAGAGATCATTGTGAAAATGGATGAGATTTTAACTAACAATATCAGTAAGAAATGGCTGTTCTGAGTAAGAATGAGCCCATTCTTTCATGTTTGTAGGAATATTTCGATATTTTTTCAGCATCTTTCTGTATGCCTACAATTCAACTAAATTTATTTATGTTATTCTTCTGAAATTTTTTTTTCAATATGATTTCGTCTTCTACATATCATCATTCATGAAAACTTACTGTGGTTTGAAAGGTGAGTTAGTCATAAACACCCATGAATGATAACTGCTGTTACGAAAGACTCCAATCCATGACAGATGTGACAGGAATTTCAAAAACTTCTGTCAGGAAATAAAGAATTTTCATTTAAATAATAAGCATGAAAGTTTTTTTATTATATCTTAAAAACATAAATAGTATATTTTTTTCCACAGGACTCTTAATGTTCAAACAAGATCAACAGTGTAAAAAATATATAAAAGCTAAAAACACTTTTTATATTACCCCCAAATTTTACAAATGCTTATAACTTTGATTTAAATTAAGTGCTAAAATGTTTATCTTTAGTAGCTATGTTTTTTCTTACATTAATAACGAATATTGTGATTCATGTAGTTTAATTATGAAATTAGGAAAACAAGCATAAATGAGGATATAAATGTTCATTAAACTTCAGATTCTGTAGTTAAATCACAGTATTTTTCTACTGTGTTTCTCAGTGCTGGAGTTTTAGAAAGGAACTAAAGGGTTGCTATTGAGAAAACAAGTGACATGAAAACTAACAATGTGGATTTTTGGTTATCATACTACCCTTTAAATAGAGGCCCCCTGTTGTCTTTTTCTGTACTGGTGCAATACTAATATTTCAAAGAAGGTGCCATTGATTTGTTTCTCTCTGTTACTCTTTTAAATATAACTATAAACTCTGAAACTAATAATGAAAGACACAAGCAAAAGAGAATTCTGAAAGCTGGATCAAAAAGGTATAAAAGTCCATAAGAAGGGGAGTAAGGTACAAAGGAAAAAATACAGGGCATGAACCAAGTTGAATTATAATAAATATATACAAGGAGGTGTCACAAAGAAATTCCCTATATAACTAAACAAAAATGTCTTTTCAAAAATGGTGAACAGGAAGGTAAAACAGGTCCTGACTGGAGGTTGTTAATAGTAGGAGGATGTAAGGAAAGAGTGAACAGGCTGAATGGAATGGAAATATTATTTACTCTTCCATGAAAATGAAAAATGAGACATGTTGAAACTCTGCCAGGAGTGGGGAGAGGGGAGATAAAGGAGAATGATCGTGAGGATAAATTCAACTATGACACATAGTAAGAACTTTTGTAAATGTCACAATGTACCCCCAGAACAACAATATTATAATAAAGAAATGAAAAAAGAGGTACGGTACCCCAGAATTAGTGACCACATAGGGGTAGAGCATCTTCTGTCCTTCAAAATGTGCATAAGAGACCTTGGTATGATGTCTAGCAGTAAGCACCAAACTAACAGTATGAGCTGGCTACTATAAGCTCACTCTTTTTTCATATAAAGGGGGGTCACCAAGCAAAGGTGAAAGTCCTTGCCAGGGTGATTATTGCCAGGAGAGTGGGGAAGTGCTTCTCCTCCCACCAAGAGATGCCAGGGCAGGGGTCAGGCGTGGTGGTTCAGCAAAGGGATTCCTGTGACTACAAATGTTCTACTTAGGAGGCCCCTTTATCCCTGAGAGCATGAGACTCACTTATGTGGGATGGATTTTTAAATATTTTTTACAAAATATAGCAGTGAAAATTAACAAACTACAGATAAGTGCAACCATGTGGAAGAATCACCCAACTACTGTTGAGTGAAAGGGCACCAACATGAAAATGATACAGTATGACTCCAGGCATATCAAATTCAAAACCAGTAAAAGCTAACTTATAATAGCAAGAGTCAGGATTGAGGTTTAGTGAGGAACATGAACTGAGAATTCACATAGGGAAGGGGCATCTGGGAGCTGAAGCTTCTCTTTTGTGATCTGACATTAATTAACTTCATCTATTTCTTCATCATTAATTTGTACAGTCGTGAATTACATGTTTAGTTTGCTTTGTGTCTTATAAAACTAAATAGCAAATTTTATTTCAGAAAAAAAATTGCACTAGCATGACATTCCTTGAAAAGCAAGATGAAGAAATAATCAAGTAAGCAGTACACAAACACAAACTGTTGTAAAGTCAAACAATGAAATATTGTTCAGACTTTAAATAAATGAAAAATATGCATAAGAATATGGGCTAATTTTGCAGTTGTAATATTAACTTTAAAAGTTTTTAATGTAATGTTAGAAACATTTGAAATCTTACCAGTTCTTCTTCATTGTCTATATACAGTAGAGTAGAGTTCTTAGAGGCACAGGACATCAAACTCTCATTCCAGGTTTCTTTTTCTACACTAATGTAGTAACAACTGTTGTAATATGTTAACCACTCCTTTGGACAACGACCACAATTACTTGCTGAAGAAAGATTATGGCTATTATCTAGAAGCAATATAAGCTTTCAATACTAAAAATGAATTTACGTATTTGCATAGGTTTGATGTACACATACAAAACATGCCTATCCACTGCAATAGGCTAGTATGTATAAAAGAAAACACACATATAAGAACCAAAACAGGTCAGCCTCTCACCACATAATTCATATGTCCATATAAAACAAATAAACAAACAAAAAAGTCATCCTATAAATCTCTGGAAAGTCACTAAACATAAGCTCTCTTCTAGAAGAGTAAATTTATCTTTCTCATCATAGTATATCACTAGGAAGTTTGACCTGATTTAGCAAAGAAATTATGTGATAATTTAAAATTGTTGTTTCTTATTATTTCTGGACAAAAGACATCTTCTCCTATATTTATTTAAGAACACTTACTGCTCAATCTTCTAGTTTATTTTCTCCAAGAAATGTATTATTTTTTTTGCATGGCTTAAGTTAGAGACAAAAATATAATCTTTACAAATATTAGAACTTTGAAAACCATTATGTACCTTTCTGGTGTCTCATCAGGGAAGAATTGTTCTGCTCCTCTGTTACAATAGCTAGAAAAATTAAAGTAATTCTTATGAAAATTAATACCTAAAGGAATCAGAATAATTTAAATTTTTAGGTTAAAATTTATGCATTACTTTGACTGAGAATAATATAGAATAAGTGGATATTTACCATGAAAAATGAACAAAATAATGAAGGTTTGGGGAAAATTTATTTCAATAAAAGTCAAAAAAGTCAAACATTACCTGCTTTTACAGTGGAATACATGATAAAACAACTTTCAAAAGTTAATCTGAATTTCTCAATAAACCATGTCTTTGAGTTATGAAATCATAATAGATATAGTTAAAAACAAATACTCCCTACAATGCTTTTGTTATTTGCAATTTTGACAAATTCAGAAAAATCACTTCACATTTAGTCTAAATATTTACAATGAAATATGAATTATGTTTCTTGATCTTATGAGATACTTAAAGGCATTTCCAATCATTAAAATGGAAAGTCCTCTTCTAATTTTTCAAAGGCCTTCTTACAGGGAACAACGACTGTGGTTGTCACCACCACAGCAACCAGTAAGACAAAGCAAAGGATTCCCAGGATCCCAGCAATGAGCTTCTCTGGAGGAGATGGAAAACCTAGAGTGAGAGGGAATGAAAGCGATGAAGAAGGAGGGTGGAGACAGCTGTTTATGTTTTCATACAAGAAAATCCACATGTACAGGCAATCCTAAAGATACACTTGGCCTAAAACCCATGTCTATAATTGTCATATGTTTCTAGATTATACCATTGTATTTTCAGGGAATAAAATGTTCCACAAGTTCTTTCTATAATTTCTGAATATAATTAGTCTTCATGTACTAAATTAGAATAGCATAGTTCAAGTTAGAGCTCCTGTCCTCACAACGAAAACCATGTGAGTTTATTCCCTATGTTTTACCCATGCCTCTACACTCAGCCACACATCCTAAAATAGTATATTGAGGATCAATTAGTCTTACCTTTCCAGTGATAGTCTTGGTCATTCTCTGGAAGCTTCTGAGAAGTATTTTGAAAGTTTAATTCCACATAGGTTATTTCCTGCTCTGAAGTGGAACTTTGAGTGACCTTAGATTTACTTTGCTGCTTCCTTGGGTACTTGGGCAAATTCAATTCTGAGTAGACCACTCCTTGATTACTCATCTCTACAGCTGAGTGATGTCATGGACTGTGCTCTAATAATTGTGCTTAAGAAGATAACAAATGTTTTATGTAGTGACAGGATTCCTAGTGCAGTTTATATGGGTGGAGTCAAGTGTGAGAGTGAATATTAATACTCATTTTGCAGTTGAAGAACCAAGATCTTTCTCTAGATCATTAAAACAGATGTCCTATGGTAAAGTAAGTAAAAAATTTAAAGAAACTTTGAAATTTGAGTACTTTTAAAAAATATCATTGGAGGGTGGATAAAAAACCAACAATTTAGTGAGAAATACAAATGTTCATGAGTAAGTACCTTAAGTTAAACTCAATTTTCAGAAGAATATTGTATCACTATGAAATATTTTAAAACTTATAAAAATTGCAGTGTTATAATAGAAATACTTATGTATCAGTTTTTAAAATAAATTGCAATTCAATGATGGATTAAAAACTGAATGATCTGAACATAGGAAACAGGAAGATTAATATATATTAATCACTTGTACTAGATTACTTTATTCAATAGCTTGCATATATTTATTAATATGATTACATGGTTTTAGATGGTCTTTTATATTGAATAGTTGAGTTCTGAGAAATTGCTAAAAATTTAAGGGTATGTTGAAAAATGTCCAGTGACCAAATAAACTTGTTCATAACATAAAGAATATTGGAAAAAGTACAAAATGATTTTAATACTTATTTTACAGATATAGTTGGCTATTTATTTAATAAAATATGAAACCCTAAGATGATAAGATGATATAGTGATAATCAGTCATTATAGAACATTGTTGATTCAAACTTCCTGAAAGAGACAGTGAGGGTCATTTTAGTTTTAAAAATAATTACAATATTTCAGATAATATAATTTAATAATGTTATTAATGAGCCCTGGAATTAGATCTAAAATTAATTCTGACTTTGAAACTTAAAACATGTGATTTTGAAAATTATTCAACATGTAATAACTTATTTTACCTTTCCAAAATGTAGATATAAATATGTAAATATAGCACACATAAATATAAAATATAGCACACATGAAACAATTAACTCCCAACTGGGCACTTAAAGATCTCAACAAATGTTTATTATATAAATTACTATTTTAGTCACAATTGCTATATTATTCTTCCTGAATCATATCAGCAGTTAGGTAATGTAAAAGACATAGTTAGACAGGGATCTATACGTGATATTTTGTTAAATTTTGAAGGAGCCTTTTGTTTATTTATAAATTAGTTTATGTAATATAGCTCATCTTGATTTTTATTGAAACTAGCTACCTTTGTTTAATCTAGGTAATTGTCTAAGGAATTACATTTGTTCATTATTCAATGCAATTCTTTTTAAGAATCTACACTATGTGGGCTAAATATAAGTTAGTATATTATTCTTAAAAATCCACAGTGTACTGATTACAACATCCAAATGCATTGTTCATTATCATCATGCCTATAGATTTCATTTTTAATAATATGGATGAACAAATGCAATTACATGTGAACATAATTAACTAACTCTCCATGGCCAATAATGAACAAACTTTAAGAACTCCTCCAATGTATTTCATATCTTAGGATTTTCCCTGAACTATTTAAGTAAAGACATCAATGTCTTGCTTTGATTTCTGTGTATGAATTGTGCTTCAGTTGCCTCTCATCTAGCATTTGTAATCTTCCACTGAGTTGGACTAATATAGAGACAGGAAAGTAGTGACACATACATATCCTATCTTCCCAGAAAGTCATTTGTCTTGCAGTGACAAGGTATGAAAAGATACAGTGACACATATAAGAAGGCCCACGATAGTTGAATTTTTAAAAGGTGAAATTTAATGACATAAATCTAGGGCAAGAACAAACAATGCCTGTGATCTTCACAGACTGCCCTGTGAAGGTTCAAAGTGAGTCAAGAGTGGAAAAAGTAGATTTCTCATGAATGTGTCACTTAAAATTGAACAGGAAATTCTCACACATCAACTTTGAAATCAGTGTTTCTCATCACACACCTCCAGAATATAGGACACTGTGGGCTGCTACTGAAAGAAGTGGACCTCTGTGTCATAAAGTGTGTCCATCTACAAATGTAATATAAGGGGGGAACAGAAAGCTGACCCAAGTACAGTTTACTTGTCCTTATTTGCCTTGTTAAGAGAATCTTAGATTTTACATCTTCCTTTTTAAATTCTATTGCAAAGTGTTAACACTATATACAGACTTTTCACTTTCTTACTTTTTTTGTGTGTTTTGGGGATTGAAACTAGGGTTTCACCCAAGACAAGGATAAACAACCTTATGTATTTCCTGTCCTCAAATCATATGATACCATTTATATTATGACAGAAAAAATATAAAATTTCTTTCAGTTCTTAAAATCCATACATTTTATTTCATTTTAAAATAAGTTCTTTGTCACATTTACTTTGGTAAAAACGAATATATCTTGGATGGATAAAATATTACTGATCTTGATCTAAAATCTGCTCAAAGGCATAATAATCAAAAGAGCTTGGTTCTGGCATAAAAGCATAGAGGCCAATGAAACAGAATAAAGAACCAACAAATAAATCCATGCATTTGTGGTCAACTGATTTTTTTTCAATACTGGGACTTGACCTCAGGGCCTACACCTTGAGTCATTCCACTAGCCCTTTTTAGTAAAGGTTTTTTCACGATAAGATCTCATGAACTATTTGCCCAGGCTGGCTTCAAACCATGATTCTTCTGATCTCTGTCATTTGGGTAGCTAGGATTACAGGCAGGAGCCACTGGCACCCTGCCGCTCAACTGATCTTTGATGTCGGTGCCAAGAACACAAAATATGACTAGGAATGTTATTCCTCAGTTTCCTGAGAGAGTTGAGTAAAATGGGAAGTCAATGAAAACTATAAAACATTAAAAGATTGAAGAAGACCAGAAGATAAAAATCTTCACATGCTCACAGATTAGCAGAATTAATATTATGAAAAGTGGCTATACCTCCAAAGCAATCTACAGATTCAATACAATCTTCATGAAATCTCAATTTTATTCTTCACAGAAATAGTAAAATAAGTCCTAAAATTCATTTGAAAGCACAGAAGACCTTGAACAGACAAAACAATGCTGAACAAAAAGACAAATGTTGGTGGAATCACAATACCTTACTTGAAATTATAATACAGAATCATAGCAACAAAAACAGTATGGTGCTGGCACAAAAACAGAAATATAGCTCAATGGAATAGAATAGAAGATCCATATATGAGCCCACACAGCTATAGCCAACTGATTTTTGACAAAGGTACCACAAACTTATGCTGGAGAAAAAAAGTCTCTTTAGCAAATGGAATTGGGAAAGCAGTATATCCACATATACAAGACTGAAGCTAGACCCTTCTCTGTTACCATATACAAAAATGAATTTAGGATATAAGACCTGAAACTATGATACCGCTAGAGGAAGATATAGGGAAAACCCTTGAATATATAGTTATAGGTCATGCCTTTATTAGTAGGACACCAATTGCTCAGGAAATAAGAACAAGAATTGAAATATGGTATTGTGTCAATTAAAAAGCTTCTGCACAGCAAAGGAAACAATTAACAGAATCAAAAGAAAACCTACAGAATGGGAGAAAACTTTTGCCAGTTATTCATCATATATATATATATATATATATATATATTCATCAGGTTTTCTTTTTCCCTAGAAGATACATTAGAAAAAACAATACAAAAAGTTTAAAAATAGAAATGGTCATAATTAAGGGAACTCTTTAATAGTTAAATAATAAAAGGTGACCTAGATATTAAAGGTAGCCTTCATATGCAGAGCAAAACAGTAGATTTGTAAAATGTTATGTGTTCAGTAGTCACAGGTAGGTAGAGTTTTGACATTTTTTTACCACTTTCTAATTTACTATAAATTAAAGAACATAAAAACTGCTTACAATTTCCACCACTCAAGAAATAAAAAGAAAAAAACTGTTAAAAACTAATTTTGAGTAAGGATTTTTTCCAGGTATTAATGATTCTTTCTTCAGAGTATATTTATGGTAATTTAAAATCTGAAAAACAATACAAGGATGCTCAGATTTTCTCAAATTGTTTTCCAGAACTGTTTGAACAATTTGTAAATTCATTAATAGATAGGGTGGTTAATTTAAGGACTTAGTCACAATGTAAGAAAGAACATAGCTATTTAAATACTTAGAATGTGTAAATGACTATTTGTACTAGGAGAGAAAGGACAATAGCCATTGCTACTGAAAATAGACAACAGAATAAAACTGAAATATTAAGTAGATTTACATTACAAATTCCACATCATATACTCACTTAGATCTTAGATACACCAAAATATTAAATGTAAACCATGAAACAGTAAAATAGTGAAAAGGAAGAGCAGATGAATAATTATAACTTTCAAACCACTGAAAAATGAGGAAAGAGTCAATTTGAACTATCAGGTTTATCATTGTTTTTTACAAGGGAAAGAAGTTTATCACACAAAAGCATATTAAAGGACTTATTTCATTAGTAATCAACAATGTGGAAATAAAAATATTGATAATATATCATTTTACCTACAAAATCCATATCTGCTTATAAACAAATGTAATTATGTAGATTCAGACAATGTACAGGAAAGCAGGCATTATTCATGGGTACATATGGATAATCTGTGAGCTGGCACCATCTTTCTGGAAAGAAATTTGCCAGTACAGATGGAAAGCAAAATAATGTATGTGTTAACTGATCCAATACTTTAACATAGTGAGAAAATGATGACTAAGTATAACAACATCCCTAAACCAGACAAGGAAACAACAAAAAAAGAGAATTACAGGCCAATCTCTTTAATGAACTCAAGTCCATAAATCCGAAATAAAATACTGGCAAACTGAATTCAACAGCATATCAAAAAGATCATACACCATAATCCACAGCATATCAAAAAGATCATACACCATAATGCAGTCAGTTTCATCCCAGAGAGGCATAAGTTTCAAC